GCTCTTTCATTGTCCCTTATCTTTATTTTTATTGCATCTTTTTTTTTAACTTCCCTGTTTTCTTTCATTTGTCCCTGTGAAGAAACAGAAAGACCAACATTTGTGGTAATGTTTTGACAGTCTAGAATCTTGTTTGAGAGTCAAGGTTTTTAGGCAGGATTTAGCAAATATCTGAATGCAGGCTTTGTTTTTTTCTGTGTGTGTGTGGGGGGGGCATTTTTTGTTTTGATTTTTGCCTATAGGGTCTCATTGATATGTGGTAACAAATCTGGGAAGTGGGTCTCATTATCTTCATTTTGAAGATCTGAGGCTCAGAAAGTTTAAGAGGCTTGTCGATGTTCTACATCTAGTAAGTGCTAGAACCATAACTTAACTTTACTAGACAGGGTGTTACCTGTGGTTTTATTGTGACTCATTAGCTCTGCCTGCAGCAGGGTCTAGTGATTTATTTTGTCCTAAGGTTTTTTTTTCCTGCTTCATAGACTTTTTTTTTAATCCTGACCCTAACACATTTTTTTATTGCTTTTTAGAAAGAGAGGAAGGAAGGACGGGGAGAGAGAGAGAGAGAGGGAAACATTGATGTGAGGGAGAAACATTGATTGGCTGTCTCCTTCTTGTGCCCTGACTGGGAATCAACCCAGAAGCTTTTGGTGTTCAGGATGAAGCTCCAGCCAACCAAGCCACGCCTGCTGGTGCTGCTTTGTAGACGTCTTTGTCCTTGGCTGTGGTTGGTCTGTGTCTCTGTAGGGTTCTGCTGGTAGGTAGTATCCAGCCTCCCTTTTGGTTTTCAAGAAGAGAAGACGGAACTGGTCAGTCCCACTTACGTACTGGCAAGGGCTCCTATCCAGGTGTGCCCCTCTCAAGGCCATGCTGTTACTCTGCGACAGAGTCTCTGTGGATGTGACCTGGGGGCCACCTGCCTCAGACATAGCTGAGAAATTACTAACAAAACAGTCTCCTGGACCCCATCCAGACTTGCTGAGTCAGACTCCGGGGATAGGTCCCAGGAATCGTCACGTAACTGTAACAGGCCCCCGAGGTGACTCTTATGCACACTTAGGTTTGAGAACCACTGTCCAGGTTTGACACAGCATGCCCCCCCAGGCCAAACACATGAGGGGGTGTCTTCGAGTCACGTTCTCGTGTGACCCTCTCCCTGTAGTGTGGGCAGAATCTGTGACCTGTATCCAGCCAATAGAAAATGGCAAAGGTGATGGATCAGGCACTCCCGGGATTACGGTACGTTATTTAGGGCGGTCTTGGAGGGCCGGAGACAGAAACCCCTCCGCCGGCCTTGAAGAAGGAAGCAGCGCGGGGCGAGAGCCTGTAAAAGGGCCGCGTGCCAGAAAACGTGGGTGACCTCTAGCTGCTGAGAGCAGGCCCTGGGTGACAGCCAGCGAGGAAACAGGGACTTTGGTCCTACAGTCACAGGACGGGAATCCTGCCAACAGCCAGGTGAGCGGGAAGAGGAGTCGGAGCTCCTTGGACGAGCACAGAGCACAGTCCCGGCTGACGCCTGGAGCGCAGTCTTGTGAGCCCCAGGGCAGAAGGCCCAGCAGAGCCTCGCCTGGACTCTGCCCGACCCACAGGCACCGCAAGATGATAAATGCCTGCTGTTTTCAGCTGTTCAAGTTCGTGATAATTTGTTGCACAGCACTAGAAAACGAATACACCTCCCTTCTCAAAATTCCAACACCCGCCTCTCTTGTTATCACATTATTTAGAGCGTTGGTGGGCGGTGAGGCAGAGGCTGTAAGTATTTATTATTTACTGAATCTGAAATCTGAAATGTATCTTTTAAAGTAAGGAATACACCAGCATACACTCATTATACAATTTAAAAGACCACCACCACCAAGGATGCAGACAAGGGTGTGGAACAATTAGAGCTCCCGCCCCTGCTGGCTGAGGAGTCTGTGCAATTTTTTTAAAGATTTTATTTATTTATTTTTAGGGAGAGGGGGAGGGAGGAAGAAAGAGAGGGAGAGAAACATCGGTGTGTGGTTACCTCTCATGCACTCTCTACTGGGGACCTGGCCTGCAACCCAGGCATGTGCCCTGACTGGGAATCGAACCGGCAAAACTTTGGTTCACAGGCCAGCACTCAATCCAATGAGCCACATCAGCCAGGGCGCAACTTTTAATTTTTAAAGATATCCTAAATCGCCTTCCACAGAGGTTACATATCCCCAGCAGCAGTGACAGCCCTGCTTTTCCACGGTCTGGTGCTGACCTGCTGACACAGCCTGTTACCGGACTCTCCGATCTGATGGGTGAAACAGTATATTGTAACCTTACTTCGTATTTGTCTCGTTAGGAGTGAGATCAATCATCTTGTTGCATTTGTAAGGCGGTATTGATAGCTGCCTTTCTGTGAACTATTTATTCACATCTGTCTACGCCTCTGGATGGTTGTTGGCCTTGGCTCTGATTCCCAGGACGCAGGGGCTGAGACAGAGCTCCCGTGCTTGCGCTTACCAGGGGAGTGCAGTGTCGGGACCGCAGGAGTGATGGGGGGCGTGGCAGGGGGGCCACCAAGAAGGGAAAGCAAAGACAAGGTGGTTGTGATGGAGCGGGCCCTGGGTTCAGGAGGGGGGCGGGGATAGGGAGGAGAGGGTTTTAGCTGCCCATTTCCTCCCATCTGCTGGCTCTCATAGATCAGCGTTTCCCCACAGGGCGTTCGAGGCCCTGCAGTGCTGGTATCACAGTTGCTGAGGAAGCCAGAGCCCGAGTCCCGCGCCACGGCGCTCCGCCTGAGCCCCGAAGAGGAGAGAGTCACACCTTCCCGATCGGCCACCAGGGCGACCGTGGTCCTCTCACAGTCTTCATCCTGGTGGAGGACAAGCTGGGCAGGGTCGCTGGGGACAAAGCAACTTGGGTGGTGGGCAGGGAAAGCCACTGAGCAAGTCACTGAGGTCCTGGAGGGCAGGGAGATGACGGCAACTCTAGAGAAAATGTAATGTGCACCAAGTGTGGGAAGTCCCGCCACAGGGCATGACATGTAGTTAAGCCCTCTACAATCCAGTCCTCTCGCTGTTGTTGTTGTTGTTGTTGTTATTATTATTATTATTATTATTTCTGTTACTGTTATTAGCAGGTGTAGGGGAAATACAGAGGAAGCTGCTAAACTGAGCGTCCAGGTAGCTTTGGAAGAGACGGTTCGGGCATGGAATCATGTTGTGGGGAAAGGGACCCCTGGGAATTGCTCAGGTGAAAATAACCACCAAATTTTGAACACCTGCTCTGTCAGAACTCCACACACATCATTTCATGAAATCCTTACCACAAACCTTAACCTCAGGGGTATCACCCCAATTGTCAAAACAAAGAAACAGAACCTCAGAGCAGTTCTGTGATTTTCAAGGTCAGAAAGCTAGTGGCCGAGCTTGGTTCAACCCAAAGCCACCTGATTTCAAAGTGTGTTCATCTCCAGGTTTAACTCCTAACCTGTCTGGAGGGCCCAGGACCTGCGGCTCTCCTGGGAACGAAGCCTAGTTTCAACCTGGTCAAGGGCCTAGACAGCGAGTTAAGCTGGGCTACATTCTTGAATAAAGTCATAAGGCTACACGTGTCTGTCTTTCTGTTGACTGGTGCTTATCGCTCCGACTGTCGTTAAACATGTCTTAGTGTTTTAAACAACTGAACTTGGGCTGGACCACATGGACCACCCTGGGTGTGGGGAGCTGGTTCTCGGGGAATCCAGGCTTCCCCTGCACCCCTCCCATGCGCAGCAGCACGTTACCCCTGGTTTTCGGAAAGCTGCCTGGCGTAGGACACGACTGTAGAGTTTCTTTGGTTTGCATTTCCCCAGCACGCAGCAGATGTTTGCGTTAGCGTACCATGCTTGCTCCATCCAAGCAGGCCAGACGTGGAGACTGCCCCAGGCACGGCTGCCCCAGCTTCACCTGGCCGCAGCCTCTGTGACCCCCTCTCCAGTGCTCAGGCTCCTCCCGGCCAAAGACTTCTCCTTGGCATCACAGAACCTGCAGGTGGAGTCTGAATTCCCACGCAGTGTCTGCCATGGTGGCATGAGCCTCCTCTCCACCCCCCATATGGTCTTACACGTGCTCAGACCCCGCACAGTCCCTGGTACGTTGCAGAATACTTGGCAGGTGATCGGTGAATATCCCCCAATCAGAGAGGTTCACGGAACAGGAGTTGAGCTCTATCGCCTCTTGGCGTTAGTATTCCAGAGGGACTGAGCGGCTCTGGACCTGGGGTGGCTTCTTTAAAACCTCTCCGTTTGTATGTATGCCTCCCCCACCCAGAGTCCTGCCGAACATGAACCTGCCCTGTCCTGTGCGTCCCAACCACAGGACGGTATATGGCGGGGATGAGAGCTGGCTCCTCTGGGGGGAGCTTTTCCAACGGACTCTGACTGTTTACTCAGCAAATATTTACTGAGCAAAAGGGGAAGAGGAAGGGCATTCCAGGGAGAGAGAACAGTTTAAACAAAGCCAAAGAGGAAGGAAAACCAGAGGTATGTATGGGCTCTGGAGGAGTAGTGGAATTCAGTAGATAAAATCTGGAAGATAACAGGAATCCAATCAAGAAGTCGTTGAATTCTTGGCAAAGGGGTTTAGGCTTGTTTCTACAAGCCAGAGGGAGTCCAGAAAGATTTTGAGCAAGAGACAGACATTATCAAAGCTGCTCATTAGGGAAATTAATTGGACAGTAGTGCCTAGACTGGATGGAGAAGAATAATCGCATAAAGCAGACAGCCATGATTGGGGACTCACCCTGCACCAGGACTGTGCCAAGCCCTGTGTATATCCACGCACTGTCTCCTCCAACAAAAGCAATAGAGAGTGCATTTAAGACTCAGGGCCTGGCACATGGTGTTTTCCAATCCTCACAATTGCCTTGTGAGTTGAGTTTTGTTATTGCCTCCCTTTTACAGATGGTATCTAAGGTTTGAAGGGATTAAATATTAAATGCTCCAGGTTAAATGGCAATGAGTGGCAGAGCCAGGATTTCAGTTCAGGCTGGTCTGACTCCAACGCTGGTTCACAAGGGAGGGAGCCGTTAGGACGCACTTGCAGACGTCTTGACAGTCGGTGATGAATGGAGGAGGAACAGGAAGGAAGGACGAGAGAAAAGGGATGCACAACTGATTTATGGGCCCCTAACTGGCGTGTCGTGGCAACAGAGAGACGGGCTGAGAGAGAGCATGGTCCAGGATGGGGCAAGGTTGGTGCGTGGGAGAGCCACGGAGAAGTAGCATTGTCGTGAAAAGCAAGAACGTAGAACTGGAAGAGAAAGGCAAGACCACAGGAAGCAACGTAAGTTAAAGGGATTCGAAATATGTTGAATTTGATGTGTTGATGTTAATAGAGATATCTTATGGGCATTTGGAAAAATCATCTTATTCCTTACACCCTGTTCCCCACTTACAATTTTTCATTCTTTAAAAAAATTACTTAAACATGTTTATTGTGGTCAAATATGCACAACCTCAAATTTACCTTTAACCATTTTGAAGAGTCCTTTATTATATTTTTAATTAGCATAAAGTTGACTTCCAATTTCCCATTCAACATATGTACAGAGCTTGGAAATCATCGCTCTATTTTAACAAGTAAAAAAGCTGAACAAACAGAAAATCAACAACTCTTCTCAGACTCAGCAGAGTGGTGAGGTCACAGGGCAAACTCCTGCCCTCAGAGTCGGGGAAGCAGACAGGCAAACACAGAGTCGTGGCTTATCAGAGCAGAGACTCTTGAGCAGAAAGCTCTGTGGGAACCAGCAGCAGGGCAGAAAAGCCTAAACTCCCATTGACAGATGGCTGGGGGCTCAGTGTGAACAAGTCTGAGTTTAAAACTACCAGGGGTGGGGGCAGGTCAGTCATAGGGGGATCCCCAAGCTTTGTGAATTTTAGCCCCAAGAGCTCCACCTGGTTCTCACAGAGCAAATGCCCTCAGGCTTCCAGCGGTGGGAGGGGACAAGGGACAGTGTTAAAATAAGCCAGAGACGGGAACAGCATCACAGAAGTGGAGATCACGTGGGTTATCGACAGAGAGGGGGAGGAGTGAGAATGGGGGAAAAGGTACAGGGAATAAGAAGCATAATTGGCAAATACAAAGTCGACAGGGGAAGGCTAAGAATAGTATAGGAAATGGAGAGGCGGAAGAACTGATATGTACGACCCATGGACATAAACTAAGGGGGGGATGCTGGAGGGAGGGGGGTGCAGGGTGGAAGGTGATAGAGGGGAGAAAAAAATGGGACAACTGTAATAGCATAATCAATAAAATATAATTTAAAAAATAAAACATGCCAGAGTATTCTGTTTTTCTTTTTCTTTCTTTCTTTTTTAAAGATTTTATTTATTTTTATTTTTAGATAGGGAATGGAGGGAGAAAGAGAGAGAGAGAGAGAGAAACATCAGTGTGTGGTTGCTGGGGGTCATGGCCTGCAACCCAGGCATGTACCCTGACTGGGAATCGAACCTGCGAAACTTTGGTTTGCAGCCCCACACTCAATCCACTGAGCTACGCCAGCCAGGCCTGTTTTTCTTAACAAGGCCTGCTTTCAGGAGAAGTTATTAACTATTTTACCAGAGCCTAACCTGTTGAGGTTTTAGCAGAGCTTGATCAACCTAGAGAAGGAAAACACCCACACCAGCCCACTCTAGCCATCTCGTCCCACCTAAGGGGACAGAAAACTGAAGTTCCAGCCCAGACTCACTAAAAAACTGAGACCTGCTCATAGGACTACAGAACACTTCCCCTCCCCCTGCACCTCACCACACACGGGTAAAGGCCTGTTTGCCAAGCTCCTTTTCCCAATGTACCACGTCTGGCGTTCAACAACAGCAAAAAATGACAAGGCATACCGATGGCAGAACTTAGAGTGTCAAGAGACAGAGCAAGCATAAGAACCAGACTCATCCAGGGCAGAGAGTGTGGGAATTATCAGACAAGGAATTTAAAACAACTGTGATTAATATGCTAAGCACGCTAATGGAAAAAGTAGACAACATGCAAGAACAGATGGGTAATATAAACAAAAAAGATGGAAGGTCTAAGAAAGAATTTTTTTAATGCTATAGGTCAAATACACAGTAACAGACATAAAGAATTCACTCAATGGGCTCAATAGTAGATGAACATTGCTGAGGAAAAATCTCTGCACTTGAGACTATGTCAATAGAGACTTCCAAAATTGAAAATCAAAGAGAAAAAATACTGAAAAAAAAAAAAAGAACAGAATATCCAGGAATGGTGGGACAACTATAAAAAGGGTTATATTTGCATAATGTATGGAATCCCAAAAGAAGAAAAAGAAAAGAACAGAAGGAATATTTGAAGCAGTCATGACTGAGGATGTCCCCCAAATCAAGGTCAGATACCTAACCACAGATCCAGGAAGCTTAGAGAATGCCAAGGAGGATAAATGCCCAAAAACCCACACCTAAGCATATCATATTCAAACTACATAAAAAGCAAAGATACAAAAAATCTTGTAAGAGACAGAGAACAAAACACTCTGCCCATAGAGGATTAAGGATATGTATCAGCCCTGGCTGGTATAGCTCAGTGGATTGAGCCCCGGCCTGCAAATCAGAGGGTCACTGGTTCGATTCCCAGCCTAGGACACATATCTGGGTTGCAGGCCAGGTCTCCAGTAGGGGGGCACATGAGAGGCAACCACACATTGATGTTTCCATCCTTCTCTTTCTCCTTCCCTTCCCCCCTCTCTAAAAATAAGCAAATAAAGTCTTTGAGAAAAGAAAAGATAGGTATTAATTTGACTTCTCAGGAACCATGAAAGCAAGAAGACAATAGAGCAAAATATTTGAAGTGTTGACAGAGAAAGAGAAAAAGAAAGTCCACCTAGAATTCTGTACCTTATGGAATTATCCTTCAAAGGAAAAGAGAGATAAAGACTTTATCAGACAAACAAAAACTGAGGATATTCATTGCCAGTAGATCTGACTTGCCAGAAATGTTAAAAGAAGTTTCAGAGAGAAGGAAAATGATATAGATTAAAAAGTCAAATCTATATTTTAAAATATGGAGACCATTCAAGAAGGAATAAGTTAGGTAAAGTTGAAGTTGTTTTAGCTATTCTAGTTCCTTTGCTTTTTGGTATAAATTTTAGAATCAGTTTATGTATATCTACCAAAAATCTGCTAAAGTTGTGAGTTGACTTGAATTCCATTTATCAGTTTGGAAAGAATCAAATCTATACCCTATTGAGTCATTTAATCCATGAACATGGTATGTCTCTTCTTTTATTTAGGGTATTTCTTTCATCAGTGTTTTGTGCTTTGCAGCATATACAGCGTGTATATGCTTTAGGAGATTTATATCTAAATATTTCATTTTATGCTATTGTAAATGATACTATTTTTTATTTTTTTATTTGAATTTTGGTTTCCAATTTTTATTGCTAGTATATATAAATATCATTTTTATTTTATTTTTAAAGATATCTGCTCATGTGCATATTCTTTTTTTTAAAGATTTTATTTTTTTTTATTTTTAGAGAGAGGGGAAGGGAGAGAGAAAGAGAAGGAGAGAAACATCAATGTGTGGTTGCCTCTTAGGTGCCCCCTTACTGGGGACCTGGCCTACAACCCAGGCATGTGCCCTAGACTGGGAATCGAACCAGTGGCCTCTTGGTTTGCAGGCCTGTGCTCAATCCACTGTGCTATGCCAGCCAGGTGAAATATGATTGATTTTTAAGAGTTGACCTTACATTCTATCGTCTTGCTAAACTCACTTACTGGTTCTAGGTTGGGTATTTTTGTGTGTGTAAGTGAATTGTTTGGGCTTCTCTGTAAATAAGGACAGTCTTCTTTTTTTCCAATTCATATGCTTTTTATTTCTTTTTAGAATTATAAACAGATGTTGAATTTTGTCAAATGCTTTTTATGTGTCAATTGCTATAATCATGTTCCTTTTTTTAATCAAATGATGTATGTGGGAATTACACTGATGGGTTTTCAAATATTGAACAAGCCCTACACTCCCTGGATAAACCCACTGGCATGGTAGTCTTATTTTATTTTTTTAAAATATTTTATTTATTTATTTTTAGGGAAGGGTGGGAGGGAGGAAGAGAGGGAGAGAAACATCAGTGTGTGGTTGCCACTCACGTGCACCCTACTGGGGACCTGGCCTGCAAGCCAGGCATGTGCCCTGACTGGGAGTCGAACCAGTGGCCCTTTGGTTCACAGGCCAGCACTCAATCCACTGAGCCGCATCAGCCAGGGCCCAATCCTTTTTTTAAAAAAGATAGAACCTAAGAAATGATAACGATCCTGCAAACATCCCAGTTAAGACATTTTCTGGATTCTGAGCCAGTGGCATTTGCTGTGAATGGGATATAATTTCATTTATGTTTTGCTCCTGAATGCAAAATACAGATGGTAGTAATGTTAACTGTGGTGATAACCAACTTTTGTAATCTCACTATCTTATCGCCAATTGATAAAACTAGTCTCCCCTGCTGAGCCATTTTCAGTGATAGACACAACAAAGACTGACATTGTTTTCTACAGCTGCAGTCTCAACCTGATCTCTTTTCTTCTTCTGTTTCTCGGCCACACCTCAGATGGGACAAAATCTGCTGACCAGGCAAGTTAAGGCTTCTGTGCAATTCAGAACTAACGGAGATTTCTAGGGGATTTAGGGCATTTCTGCGTCCTTCTCCTCCGGAAGGGCGTGAATGCAGTCGTGTCCCCTAATCCAGGGTGTTATTTTCCATGGTTTCCATTACCTGCAAGTCAGTGGTGATCCAAAAGTATTAAATGGAAAATTCCAGAAATAAACAATTCATAAGCATTAAATTGCGTGCGGTTCTGAGCAATGTGACAAAACCCCGCGCCCCCCAGCTCGGTCCTGCCCAGCGTAGGATTCAGCACTCCGCCCCAGCATTTCTGTGCAGTGTGCGCCACCGGCCTCAAGGAGTCGCTCTCTCAGTCATCGGGTCCACTGTCACGGTGTCTCTGCGCTCACTGGTTTCCAAGTCCCGCTTATTTTACCTGCTAATGGCCCCAAAGTGTGAGCGCGGTGAAGCTGACTCAGAATAAGCCAAACTAACATGAGAATTGAAATACGCCTGAGAGAGGCCGTGCAGTGCTTCCTCTACCTGGAGAGGTGTGTAAGTACAGGAAAAACACAGTGTGAACAGGGTTTGGTACCATCCGCGGTTTCAGGCATCTCCTGGGGGTCTTGGAACGTGTTCCCCGCGGATAAGGGGGGACGACTGCGGTTCAGGTATTAGGTGAACATGTCGTCCACCTGAGGCCCCCGGAAGAGACCAGCCCAGGTCACGAGTGGGCAAGTGAATGAAGGAGGAATTTCCCACCAGGCAGCCCCTCGCCACCTGAGGGGAAAAACGGACTGAAAGTCCGCTATTCATGGATTTTGTCTCATTTTTTAAAAAATGACTTGAAATTTTTCCTGTTTAGTTGACGTAGTCCTGCTGTAAAGGGATGTCTGTGAAGTAGAATAGGGGGTTAAACAATAACTTCATTCGAAGAGTTAAAACTTGTGCGTGCTTGTTACGGGCCAGGCGCGGCTCTACGAGCTTTCATGTATCAATTCACCTGACCGTGACCCCCAGGGAGGCAGGTACCTTCTCTGGACCTCACCGGGGGTGTGGGGGGGGAACTGTCACAAGAGCGGTTGTCCAATCTCCAAGGAGCGCTTCCACTTTTGTGGCATCTACATCTGTTGCTTAGATCTTTCATGAGTATGCATTATTTTCACCATTGAAAATTAACTTTTCTTCACTCACCACGAAAAGGTCCTATGCACTCACTGTAGAGTTTTTACAATATGGGAACAAGCTCAAATGGGTAAAGAAAAATGACCTGTAACCTCGCCCCCCAGAGGTCGTAGAGCATTTTGGTGTGTACTTTCTCAGCTCTTCTTTCTTTGACTAAATATATAATTTGACACATTTGTGACCGAACCGGTTCCCTCTGGAGCGCTGTGTTCAAGGCCGCCTTTTCAGCGGGTAGCTCCGTCGTGGCCAGGATTCCACATCCCTGTCCAGACGCCCGCCTGGGTGCCCAGGGTTGCCATTGCCATATTTTTGGTCGCCTCCTGCCGAACTTTCCTTTTGCTATAGGAAGTGGAACAGGGTGGTTAATTGGACATTTGAATGTGGCAGAATAGCCTGATTGATAAGTCAGCCCTATCTGGTTTTCTTAGCTGTGAATCCTTGAGAAAAGAATGCGAAGTATTTTTCCCACATCCTCCCAGGAGGGCGGCCAGGGCTTCCGCCCGGGAGGTCAAAGCGGATGGAGCTGGTTTTCCAATGGGGAGCGAGCGCAGCAGCCTCACCTGTGGGGTAGCGGCCTCCCTCCGCAGAAGAGGGCGGGGCATCGTCAGCATCCACAAGTGGCGGCGGTTGAGGTCCCACTGGAATACAAACACCCGCCCACCTCTCAGGATGCCAAAACCTGGTATGGAGGTGGCTGGGAGGAAAAAAAAAAAACCCACTAGGTGGTCAGCTGCTGGCAGAGGCCAGTGTGAGTGGGCAGCTCAGCAGCCTGCCTGGGCAAGCAGCTCCCGCAGACAGGAAGGCCCCGCCTTCACCCCGCCGCGGGAGGAGCAGCCACACTCCGGCCATCTGCGCCGATTAAGGACCAGCTGCCCCAGCTCCACAAGATCTAGCCCTTTGTTTACGAATCTGGGGATTTCTGGTTTTTGTTTTGCTCTGTTTTAATTCAGTAAGCCAAGGGAGAAAGCCCTAATAATGTATTATTAAACTTCTCACCAGCTTCGAAAAATAAAGAATACTGGTCGGCATTTCTCTCTCATCCAATGTCACGGAGCTATTCCTTCCTTCCTTCCTTCCTTCCTTATAGGCAACCCCTCGAGGAGCGTTCACGTGGCTAAACCGGTGTTCCTTCTCCACCACTGGCTGTTCATTCCAATGTCCTCTATGCCTTTTAGGGGTGGCAAGTTCTGCTGGATCAGTCAGCTCTGTGGATTTAGGGACCTGGCCTGAGCCAGGACAGACAAGGGTGGGGACCCTGGTTCTGGTCCTTAGTCACTGATCACTAATCACTCGCTTGAATCACTAATGTGTTTTACACTCCCAGCGAGCTTCTTCACCGCTCTGTGCCTCCCTGCTCTGGTCTGGACAGATCTATGAACCCGCAGGTCTTTGCCCCTTGGGAGCCCTCGGCCTATGGGAAGTCTAGACAAACTCCCTGGCAGATGAAATGACATATCCATGGAAACCATAAGCAGGTCAATATCTTCCCACGTGCTCCAGTCATATCGGACTGCAGGCAATGTTCCAGAACGTGCTTGCACCCCCATAGTTTTTGCTTTGGCTGTTCCCCTAGAATGAGCACCCCTCTTTTCTGCCTGTTGACGCCCTAATCATCCTTTAAGATTCAACAAAAACCTCTCTCCTCGGGGCGTATGCCTTTGATGGCAGCGAATGAACGAATGGACGGGATGTACTTTGCAAGCTCCCTGCAGGCAGAGGCTGGGCCTCATTCATCTCTGCGTCCCCCACAGGACCCAGGCCAGGATTCTGCAAGTGAAGGTGCAGCCAAATGTTTGTGGAGCTAAAAGTGGGCCCTGGGCCTCGGCTTGGATGCAGCCTCAGGCTATTTCAGGCCCTGGAGCTGGAGGGTGGTGCGGCGGCAGCGGCAGCAGCGTTGAGGCTGTGAGATGAAAGGGCGAGCAGGAATGAGGCTTCGGTGGCTGGAGGCCTCTCTGGGCCCCCCTCCTCCTCGCCTGCCCCACCCCCTCCTCGCCTGCCCCACCCCCTCCTCGCCCAGCCCCACCCCTCCTCACCCAGCCCCTACAGGAGCAGGAGACACTGTGTACTTGGGACACTCTTCCATCAGACTCGGGCCCTCTGGGACCCTCGCTCCACCCATTCCGTCCCCAGGTCCCTGACCAGAGGGCAGGGGTCCATGTGGGTCTGTAGGAAACAGTCAGAGGGCTGTGGGGAGAGACCAACGTCCAAGCTTCTGGTCCCTGGCGTGGGCCCCGGGCTCGCTCTTGGTCTAGCGTGCGGTGTTGACCCTTTGTCTGGGCTCCGTTTGGAGCCGGGAAGGGCCATGAGCTCATGCTACAGGCTGAGGAGTCTTCCCTCACCGCCGCAGAATGGGACACGCGCTGAGGGTGGGGATGAGGAAGGTTAACCCTTTTCCGGGGCAGGAGGCCAGGCTGGCACTGGGTCAGGTGGGGCACTCAGCCCTCCCAAGGCTGCCCGGGCAGGAGCCCCATGCGCCGCCGTGGAGCAGAAGTGAAGTTTCCGAGATCGGGACAGACGGACGTGAGGGACAGACAGCCTTGGGAACCCAGGTCGGCCACAGGAAAGACTAGGAGGGTGAAATGGTTAATGGCTTGTTGAAAAACAAGGAGAGTCCCTCCTCCAGGGGCCCAGCTGGCTGGAAAGGCAGGAATAGAGGCTCCAGGGGTGATGCAATGGGACCCGCCCTGCACACCAGAGAGGGTGCGGAAGGCGGGTGGGAGCCTCTCAGCAGCGGCAGCCTCTGCACAACCAACAGCCCCAACAAACGAGATGCAGGGCAGGGCCTCTGGGCCACAGCGGGCAAGACCCTGGCCACCCAAGACCCGGGAAGGTGCCGTGTCTGCCTGTCCCACTCCATCCAGCCCCCGCGTCTTCCTGGTCAAGGCAGACCCTTCTGCTAGCCCTCAACAGGGTGCCTCATCAGCAGGGCCAACCTCTCGTCTCTGCCAATTAATTCCAGGACCAGTCCCAGCCCTAGGGGCAGGTGGCAGGCGCGGGGTGGCAGGGTGGGGTGCGGTGCCTATGAGGAGCACACACAGGCAATGCAGTGCCCGATCCTGGCATACCGGCACCTCCACCTCACCAGCCCACTCTCTATTGTCTAGGGACAGGGTATCTGCCAGGATCACAATATTCCAGAAACTTCTAAATGACTCAGAGCCATTCCAAGGGTGGATGTGTTGATCTGCACTCAAGATGGACCAGTGTCCCCACCTTAGGGTCCGGCAGTCTCAGGGACAGGGAGAGCATGCCATTTATTTCTGAGAAGGACTTTGCAGGGTGGGACACAGGGGAGGGTAAGGAGAGAGCCCCTCTCTGAGAAGGTATTGGGGGTGCCCACATTTTGCAACAAAGTCCTGCTATTGACTCTAAGCCCCGTGAGGACAGGAACTGCGTCTCTCTTGTGGACGGCAGCCTCCCTGGCATCTCGCCCAGCTCCTGACACAAAGCCGGCGCTCGATAAATAACTGGACGACAACAACCGAGCAGAGGCTGAAGGCCAAGGTCGGTTTCACAATTTCATCAGTCAGTCAGCTTTTGTGGTCAGCTCCTCACCACACACACACATGTACCCACAGACACAGAAAAATACACAAAGGAACACAAAGAATCATCAGGAGCAGACTTCCCTGGACATGGGTCGTAATTCCTAGACGCCTTCTCAGCCTCCACTTCTCCCGCCGCAGCCTTGAGAACTGAAGAAAGAGGCATCAGGATTTCTGGTACCAGCCAGAATAAAGCATTCGAGGCCGCTCTGAGGGGCTGCTGGACACACAGGAGCCAGCCCTGGGGGCCGGAGCTCTCGGCTGGGGCAACCCCGGCCCCCCTCTTCCAGGGAGTGCAATCCCAGCACAGACCAGCTCCACACCAGCAACGACAGCCGACAGCCGTCTCCTGCAGCCAGCGGAGTCCTTGCTTCTCCTTGTCCTTCTGGGAAGTAGGGCGCAGAGGGAATTCCAAATGCACAACAAGAACTCCTTTCCCTCCAGATTTTTAGCACGATTCACGTCTTAGGAACTTACATTTGCACAATACTTGTAACTTGTTCAAAGCTCTTTTATGGTCATCCTATTGTGAGATGGGACCACCTCCAGCCCCAGAAGAAGCGCTGTCACCCGGCTTTGCACGAGGAAACAGACTCCAGGAAACAGGGCCAGGCTTGCAGGGGCCGAGCTGGGGGCAGAGTCGAGACTCAAGGCCACATCTCCGTCTGCCCAGAGTCCTGGCTTCCCTCCACGGTGCGCAGCCTCCCCATGAGTCAGCTGTCATGAGTTCTGGGGGCTGCACCTCATGTCCCCTTAGCAGGGGGTGTCTAGTTTGCAGCCCACGGGCCACATGTGTCCCAGGGTGGCTATAAATGTGGCCCAACACAAAATCGTAAATTCATTTAAAACATGAGATTTTGCGTGCCTGTGTGTGCGTGTGTGTGTGTGTGATTATATGTTGCAATGTATTTAATGTCTGACCCAAGACAACTCTTCTTCTTCCAGTGTGGCCCAGAGATGCCAAAGGGCCAGACACCCCTGCTGCAGCCACAGAGTGTCCCCGCCCCCAGGCCCTGCCTGTACAGCCTGGACACCTGGCCCCACTACGGACATCTCTGCTGCTTCTCTCTGGCAGGACCTGGCGCTGTGACTCAACCTGGTGGAGTCCTTTGCCTGAAAGCTTTTCCTCCTCCGGTTCCTGCCCCGACACACACTCTATTTATATCGCGCTAAGTTGGAAACAGCTCAAAGAGGAAAACAATAGGAAAACCACTAAGCAAACTCCTATGGCAATGGGAGGGGTCAGCTGGGCCACGCTGACGAGTACGTAAACGATCTCGGTGTGGGGTAATGTGTTTTGAAACGTTGCGATTTGATCAAAGCGGAACACAAAATGACATGCTGACGGCAGGTGTAGCGAAGTGGTTATCTGCATAAGAACCAGAAGTCGACTTAGATATAAAGAGATTTCTTTCATCTTCATGGGACTCTTTTTTTTTTTTTTGCCTATTAGGATTATGCTCAAAACAATAACACATAGCAAAATAAATAATAAATAACTTAACAAGCAGAGAAGGAGGAGCCTTCCTCCATCGCCAGGGGACTGCCCAACTTCTGGAAAGGGCTGGGACTGCAGAGGGTGGGGGCCCGGAGCTGTGGGGATGGAGAGGCAGGCGTGCCCGGGGAGCCAGCGCCCAGAGAGCCACAGAGCTGCCGCTGGGAGCCCCTTGGGGCCCATGGGGCGGATTAGCAAAGTCAATGGTCCCCCCCAGAGCTGGGCACCGTGGCAGTTCTGGGGCAGAAAGGACATGGGATGTCCTGCAAGATCTCCTGCAGTCTTTCTGCACCTTCCGCTTCAGGGGACTGAAGTGGGACCAGGCCTCCAGGAGGTGGAGGGTGTACAGACAGCAGTGTTGTTCTGGGAGGGGGCGGGTAGCCTGCAGGGAGTAGGAGGGTGCGAAAGGCACCAACCTCAGCTCCCCGGGGGACCCAGGGACAGTGCACTCCACAGACAGATCAAACTCAACCTGTCCAGCCCGGACCCCTTATCTCAGCAGCTGCCCCCCGCACCTGACCTGCTCCTCCTCCTCTGTCCACCGTCCTGGTGGCTGGCACCACCATCCATCGCGGCTCACCAGGTTCTGCAGAACTGGCCCTGGCTTCAGCTCCCACTCCACCCTACTTCACACCCTATGCTCCACCCGCACTGAAATATTTATGGTTCCCGTAAGATGCTGTTTGGCTGCCCTGCCCTTTCTCAAGTGCTATTCCTTCAGCCTAAAATCCCTTCCCTACCTGGCCCAGCTGCTGACCTGTCAAGGTCAGCTTTTCGCTCATCCCTTCCTACCCCCACCCCACCCCAGGTACACAGCTCTGCTTGCTTCATTTTTCTCTGCAGTCCGATATCCAGCACTGCTCCAGCCGTATCTTCAGTATTTGATGCATATTTTATGAATTGATAAAAAGGATGCATGTGAAGGGTAATTTTGGGGGTAGACAAAAGAGTGAATTTGGTGAACCAGGCTAAGCCCACCACATTCTGGTTACATTTCCCGAGTCATCTCTGCCCTCCAGCCACTCCTTCCTCGAGCAGCTCAGGGCCCTTTGAGGCCTCCCTCGCCCCCCGCGCCCCGTCCGCCTCCACCACACTCAACAGGTGCATCGGTCCGTGGGTCCCTGCTCTTCTCACACCTGCCCCCCATCTCTGATCCGCGTGCGGACTGTGCTCCTCAGGGAAGTGGGCCCTGACACATCCCCTGAATCCGTGCAGAGGTGCTGAGTCAGGCAGGTGGTGCGGTGGTCCGCAGACAGGTCAGGCTTGTCACCCTGGAGAGGCAGCCCCCTGCGCTGGGCCATGCGGGGTCATCTAGGAGCGGTGGGGAAAGCGTGAGATGGCTCTCACCGATGTTATGTCATCACGCTCTCTGGCTGGGTGAGCTCTTTGAACTCCAGCCCACACAGGGTGGGAGGGATGGCAGCCACCTTTGTCCTCTACAGCAGGCTGGTTTCCAGGAATGCCCTGGGCCCTGGCCTGCTGCCCACCCCCACCCCTCTTCCAGCTGAAGCACTCCCAACGCCCTTAGGTCAGCCTCCCCAGCACCGCAGTGGGCAGGCCAGACGGCCAGGTAAGTGGAGCTGGACCTGTCAGTCTCCTTCTTGGCTCAACCTGCAAAGGTACCGCTGCCTCTAGGCCTGGCCCTGTCTTCCCATCCTCAGCCGCCACACAGGCGGGCCTCGTGTTCGGGAAAACCTGGACTCCCGTTCCGGTTCAGGAGTAGAAGCGAGGCTGAACCTCCCTGTCTGAATGCTACCTTCTCTGATAATGGGATTAAAGATAAAACCCCAAAGGACAGGCACACCTATGCTTTTATTTAATCCTTAAATAAGTAAACTTAAGCCATGTGTTTTCCTATTCACAGGATGTGGAGTCTCACCTCTGCCTCAACTGGCTTGGCCTCTGCTCCCCAAGCAGGCAGCTCTGATCCCCGGCCTCTGACGACAGTCCCTGCAAACCCACAGAATGACAGCTCCTTCGGGCCACACGCCTGCAGTGCCCTGGGCGGGCAGGCATGGCTCCTGGCCCCAGCTGGGAGAGGACGAGAAAGGTTCCAGTCTGGCGCTGCTGGATGAACCCGGTGTTCTGGTGCCCTCTCTCTCTCTGTCCCTTCTGCCACGGGAGTACCCCCGAGAGAGGAATCAAGGGGCTTGAAAGAGTGGGCAGAGGAGAGAATCCTAACAGTTGAGATGGGGCTCTGCAGAAGCAGGGCATCCCTCCAGGCACTTCCTCGGGCCGCTTCAAATAGATGGCCGAGTGGGGCTGGGTGGTTAGAATGGGGGCTTCTATGACTAAGACTTCTGGGGCCCCGGAGGCAAGGGTTTCACACTCTTCCCAACCTGGAACATAGATCAGTGGGGAAAATGTCGCTTCAAACCACAACTTCTTTCTCTAAAGACTTGACCCCGTCAGAGACCTCGGGATATAAAAAGGTGGGCTTGTGGGGGAATTTAGGAGAAAAGCATTGGTAAGATTTGAATTCTCAGCACAGTAGAGAGGAATCTGGCTTCCCAGAGCCAGTCAAGGAAGGGAGGTAAGAAGGCGGGGTATGAAGGGAGTAGGAGGGGGAAGGAAGTTGGATCGGCACAATGGGCCGGGGAGCTTTGCGCGGTGGTGTGACCAGGGAGCATTCCCAGGTGACTGGATAGCCAGAATAACTTTGCAGAACATTTCAGAAATGTGACTTTAAATTGTTTGCTGTGTGATGTAATCCCTCCCCTGCGGCCAACAAATTTCATTAAAAGTTGTGCTACATGTTACAGCATTATTTTTGTGGTTGTTTTGGAATCGGGGTGGGGGTGGAAGGAACGGGGCTGTGTTCCCTTTGCGAATTGATGGCAGGAACTAAAGAAACAGCCACAAGACCGGAATACTGAATAAAACTTCGATGAGGCAGAAAACTAGAGCCAGAGGTAACCACAAATTCAAAGCCGCCCTCCCCCCACCCCCTCCCCGGTAATTCACAGAAGTGCTAGGGAGGGCATTGAACTTTCCACAGGACATAGGAGTTCAAGCCAAAGTCCTTTGCATTTCAAAGGACACACTACCTCAGCTGACATTAGGTTACAAATAGGCTTTGCCTCTCCAGCAGGACTAAGCCTTGCAAAACATAGAATGTATCACACTGTCTTTACTATCCAGGGCCGAGCATGGGGACAGCACACAGTAGGGCCCAGTAAACGCATGCGGGTGGCCCATGGACGCCCTGGGCTCGGCACTGAGAGCAGAGACGAATGTTTAGATTGGGGGTGAGGGGCGGACTGAAGCAGGAAAGCCGTTCTGGCTGGAAACTTCTCCCCCCACCTCCATCCTCTGACCCAGTAGCCCTATCCCGAAGGTCAGAGAACATCAGCTCCGCGGTCTGAAGATCTGAAAAAGGCAAGGCCCAAGGGGAGATGGTGGTGGAGGAGGTCACACAGGGTTGCGCAGAGACCACAATGCTGAGTCTGTCCGCCCTTAGAGAGTCAAGGAGGCGAACACTGCCTCTTGAGAAGGGGCTTCTGATCCAAAGGTCCTGGGACAAGGGAACTAAGTGAGTGAGCTGCCTTGGGCCGCAGATGTTTCCTACGAATGGCCTCAGGATGAGTCGTGTCGGGGATCTGGTCTTTGCTGCCAAGCACCACCTTACGCCCTTCTGAGGCCTTGCTGGGAACCCCACAGCCCAGAGACCGCCCCAGTTCGGGGCATCCCTGTAGGAACCACGAGCCGCTCCCAGGGCTGATAGCGCCACCTGGCGCCGCAAAGGCTCCGACTCATCCTGCGAGCTGGGAGGTGCAAAGGGTGGCTCGGCCTCGGTCCAGCGTGGTGACGTCAGGACCGAGCGCCTTTTTTCCCCGCCCCTTCCCCCGCCCCCCAAGCTGCCAGTACCCGACGTGGCGTCACCGCCGTATACCCTTACTTTGCGTGCGTGTGTGCGTGCGGCGGAGGTGGCGGCACGGAGCTCCGCGCTGCTGCTTCTGGGGCTACTGCCGCCGCTGTCGCTGTCCGGCTTTCTCGGACTGCGGAGCCGACCCGGCGTGCGTCCCAGCACCTCGGCACCGGACGCGGCTCGGCAGGGCGCCCGGCGGGAGGGTGGGCGAGCGCGTGTCGGAGGCCGCCGCGCGGGCGGGCAGGGGGGCGCTCGGGAGGGAAGGAGGCGGGGGCGGCGGGGCAGCAGCGGGCCCGGCCGGCCGGGGAATGTCGATGCCTGACGCGATGCCGCTGCCCGGGGTCGGGGAGGAGCTGAAGCAGGCCAAGGAGATTGAGGACGCCGAGAAGTACTCCTTCATGGCCACCGTCACCAAGGCGCCCAAGAAGGTGCGGGGGCTCTGGGTGGCGGCGGAGGCCCGGACCGGGGCCTCGCGGAAGGGGCGCGAGCGAGTCCCGCGCTCCAGCTAGGTCGCGACTTCGGGGGCGAGGGATCGGGACGACTGGGATGGTGTAGGGTGGCGAGTAAGCCGTCCCAGGCCTACCCCGAGCTGGAACGGCCGCCCCTGACCTCACTTTCCTTTGTCCCTAGGCCCTAGTCCTCCGGGATCTTTTTGAAACCCGGCAGGGCCGGGCCTTGAATTCGCCGCTGACTTTTCCTGGCTGGAGGGCCTCGAAGACGGGAGTGGGAGGGGTGAACCGACTCAGCTGACCCCTGTGACCAGCCCCAGGGGATGGGGGTGTGCACAAAATCTCCCCAGGCGAGTGGGCAAATTTGGTAGAGCTACTTTGGGAGCAGTGGCCAGTTTATCCAACAACTGCGTGCTAGCCCGGAGGCAGGAGAGAAAAATGCCAGGAGTTAGCTCTTCTAGGCAGGTGAAAGCGATGAGGACAGCAGGAGAGTATAAAGAAAACTAGGATTTTCACCTTCTGCGGGTGTCCACCTTTCGACAGATGTAAGCAATTAGCATTTGGGGGTTGGTGACGGCAGGCACTGTCATGGATACAAGTTGATCGCAGTCGTGTGAATAGACCACTTAGGCATCTCTGGCGAAGGAAGCTGGGCGGGGGGTGGCGGCGGACGGGTGGGTGGGAAGGCACGATTGCTCATTCCTGACTGTTTTTAGGGAGGCAGAACGGGTCTCCTCTATTGTGCTGTGGGTTGAGCTCAAAGGACATCCTTCTGATTGTCTCGTGGAGATTAAAGGGCGACCTTTGGAACTTTCGTTCTGATTAGCTCTCAGAGTGGTGGGACCCAGATCGCTCCTGCGCTCGGAGCCTTTGCTGCCAACCACATCTTTCCTTCCACATACCTGGCACCCAGGTAACAGTGGATGGGAATCTTTGCAAACCCGTGAGAACCTGGGTAAATTATTTCCCACCAGTTTAAAAACAGTGTTTCAAGGCCGCCTCTGCCTGCGGTGTTAGATGCGTGTGGTGCTTGCATGCGCTGAACCGAGCCAGGTTTGCAGCACTCAGTCTAGTCCTTGAAGCTCCTACACGTGAACCAGTTAAGCTGTCCTAAGTGGGAGAGGTGACTTCTTTTTTTAAGGAAATTAATCTAACCCTCCAGAAATCAAAAGCAGGGTTGAAACGGCAGGTCGCTGTTGTGTGCTTTTGCTCCATTTTCCCACGAACTTAAGATCTCACCAATACAGTGCCTTTTAAAAGGTTGTGGAAGATCCCTTGATTCTAAGGAGCCTGATTAACCTTGTTTTTAGTGCTCTCCTTTCAGCGGACTGCTTCCTTGGGGCAGTGACCCTTTGTAATCTGTGGTTTAGAGGCAGGCAAAGCCTTTGTAAGGCGAATGCTTAAGGGAGGTACCTGCGATGACCCGGGAAGCCGGAAGCCCTGGTACCCTAACTCCTTGAACTCATCCTCTCCCCGGGAGCGAGCCTGTCTTTTGTGTGGCTGCTTAGGGACTAGGCACCTTTATTCCTACTGGCCTTTATTTTACTGGGCCCTTATTCTCGCAAGTTCCACTGTTGATAAGATAAAGTTTGTATTATAGATCGTAACTCCGTAAAGGCAGGACTCTGGCGCACCATCGTATGCGTGGTGCCTGGCCCTGCCCCTCGTGGGTACTCCACTGTTAATTGCCCACCTGGCTAACGAGTAACCCAGATGTCTGCGTGGCTGCTTACCAGGAATAAGTATCCCTTTTCCTCTCTTCCTCCCTGGAGGAATATTGCTCATGTGTACTATCGTCAGGCCAAGTGCTGATGATTTTATAGACTCATATCCCTTTAGCTGGCGGAAGCAGCCTGGGCTAGGAATGAGGGAAGAGCCCATAGAAGTTTCCATTTGCTGGTCACTGTGTCCCCGTGTTTCTTATTAATCTTGCTCTCTCTGAGATTTATTGCCTAGCACTTACACAACACTATATTAAAGTGCTTTATGATAACTAATTACCTCTCCCCTAGTGATGATAAAAGGCATTTGTTTAGTTAATGAGTGGGTTGAGGACTAGTCAAGGTCACGCAGCAGCACCTCCTTGGTGATCTGTTTTTTTTCAGAACTTTTCAGCTGAATTGGGCATCATGACCGGGGGCCCTTCTGTGCCTCTGCCATGTGTTGGTACCGTGAGAAAGCGTGAGAATGGTCAGAGAAAAAACGTGGCTTGGCACCCACTGAATGGTGTGAGGAAAAGCCCTCTTCAAATGGCGCTGTCCTTTACCTGTGACCGTTCCGGCGTGGCTGGAGACCGAGGAATTCTTGGGTCATTCCCAGCCCCAAGGCCCCTCGGGAAATGAGGACATTTCTGATGCCAGTCAGAGGCTGTAGGTTTCTTCAGGGTGACCTTGATGGTCCTCAGATCAGACCCCGCTTTGTTTGGGGAAGAGTGGGTGCCCCTCGATTAAAACCGTAGGTAGTGAGAGCCTTCCGCTGTTAACTGTAACATACTCGGTTGTATGTGCCTCAGGGTCTGCTGAAGTGCTGTGTAGGTGACAGTCACGGGTGTGACTCAAGGCTTGACCTGGGTGTCAAGAAGCCAACTAAGTGGCTGGCACCTTGAGCAGGTGAGCTTCTGTGTCTCGGTTGCCTCCTTTGCCAAATAAGTGCTTTTGTTTGCAGCATGTGGAGATAGGCACGGGGCGGGAACCAAGATAGAGCACAAGTAAGAGAGGTCTACTAGTACGTGATACTCTGTCTCTTTAGTGGGCGTTCGAGCTACTTCTAACACAGGACTCATATGCCATAGATAGGAAGTCCAAACTGTAGAAAAAAGCAAAAAATAGGTTAACCCTGAGGGCTAAGACCGTTGAGGAGGCTGACCGTCACATGTGGCCCTCAGCTTGCTGGTAGCCTGAGGGCGAAGGAAATGCCGGAGTTACGGTCTCGTTGGCAGGCCCGGGAAACGGCACGTCCCCATTCCTCGGGAAGACGGCAGGCGCCAACACGTCCAGAGGAGACTCTGGTGGGACGGTGGTCATAGCTGCAGATGGCTCACGGGGTGAGGCGTGCTCCCAGTGGTGGCTGCTGATTCAGACGGTGTGACCCGGAAACCTCCAGTGACAAAGGAGCCCTTTCGTTGTACAGTGTAGCACAACTGAAGGGGGTCCTTGTTTAACGTTGTCGGTTCCCAGCGGAACCTGACAAGTAGGCAGGTCAGCTCGCTCGCCGTGATCGCTGGGTGTTTGTCCCTCTCGTCCTGCACCTTCGTGTCCTGGAGGCAGGAGCCGTCCTCGGGCCTTTAGGAATGGGCATGGTGTCAAGTTGACTTTTTTCCCCCCAATAAGGTCAGCCCAAACCTCCAGCTTGTTGATGAAACTTACTAAAATAGACCCGTCTCTCTGGAAGGCCTGTCAGGAGGTTCGCTCTTCTCTGCACTTCGGAACATTTGGAGAGGCTCTTCAGAGGAATACTGTAGGAATTTGCCCTGGAATTTGTCCGTCAGACCTTTACAAGCAGCACAAGAGGGGCAAGGAGAGAAGGAACACAAAAGAGCTTACTTTGGCTTGTAGGATATTCTTTATGTGAATGGAAAATGTGTACCCGAGGGGCCAGCTGAGCTGGGAAGCATAGTGGGTAGAGCCCCAGTGAGAACTGCTTAGATGCTCACGTGTTCGGTGGAGTCCGGGGTGTCCCCTCCTCTTCAGGGTTGTGTTACGGCATTTGCATCAGTGCTTCGAGTCCCTGGGAAGAGATCTGTCCATTGTCTGCGTCCCTGGCTGACAACATTATAAATGGGAACCATGGGTTTTATCAGGAGGGCATCATTTGCATCCAGTGTGTGTTGCCCAATGTAATGTTCCTATAAAGTTGTTCACAAAGTTTTCAATGCATTTTGGTACATATGATGTAGATAGACCCTTAGCTGCCTGGGACCCTGATCAGTTCACTTGGCTGCCTCACGTAGGTACGACCTGTAAACAAGCACTTCCGTGCTGTCTTGGGCTGTTGTTTATGGGAACTGCCAGTGAAGGAGGCTCACTTATACCTGTCAGCTTATCCAGTTTGGGGATCCAACTATTGAAATTTTATGAAGAAGGGCAACCCTTATTATGCTGGGCATAGTCGTTCAGAACACGTCATGGTGAGGCGGGTCAGAAGCGTCCCCGTCACGCACGAAGAACAACACGTTCGCGCTGGCCGGAGTTTGTTTCAGCCTGAAGTCGGAGAATCCCAAGTGAGAGACAGATTCCTGCCGCAAGGTTTCCTCGCGACTCCTGTCAACACCTCGAGTACCGGAGGGAGTCGGAGATTCGCACGGACTCGGGTCCCCTCTTGTCTTCTGCCGTCACGCCTCCCTCTGGCTCATTGGGGGGTTCTCCCACTGTCCCGCTGTCGGTCGGCTGTTAGTGAAACTTCTCTAACTTTCCCTCTCTGTCCCCGACACTGAGGAGCAGCACGCTGTGAGTCAGCGCCGGGTTTCCCGGGGTCAAGTTCACCTCAGTCTCGACCGTCTGGTAGACTTGTCACTTTAATGTACTGGACGGGTGTCTTAACCTGTCTGAGCCTCATTTTCTTTCTTTCCTTCCTTCTTTCTTTCTTTCTTTCTTTCTTTCTTTCTTTCTTTCTTTCTTTCTTTCTTTCTTGTTTCTTTCATGGTCTGTAAAGGACTATTTCACTCTCATTACTGTGAGACAGTTCTACTGGGTGCACAATTTCAGGTGGACAGTTATTCTTCTCAGCACTCTGAAGGTTTGTTTTCATTATCTGCTGGCCTTAATTATCACAAGTAAAAGTCGGCTGTCTTTCTAACTGTTTCCTTGCAGGTGATCTGTCCCTTTTATTCTGGCTACTTTTAAGTTTTTTACGACCGTGTGTCACTGTGGCCAAGGGCAGGGATTCGGAGCCTCCGGTCTCCCATCTGTGAAAGGAGCAGTAGTGCTAGCACCGCGGGATGGCCGAGGGGGTGGACACTCAGTACGTGCTCCTTAGTGTAT